GTAAGGGCCAGCAGCGAGGGACACCCCCGTCCTGCTGCGTTACAGGGGCTGCCGCAGGCCTTGGGGCAGCAACACGTATCACCGCCGCAACGGCAATCACGGGAGGAGGCTTTGCAGGGGTTTATCCCCAGAGGTCCGCGAGTGACCCGAGCTTTATGCCTGAAAATCTTGTTCCCCGTGGCACCCTGGCATTAACCACCATCCGACTGCTTTTTTGGGGAGAGGGAGGGTCGAGGCGGGACGCTAAGGTCAAAGGAGAGAGGAGCTGTAGGCAAGGTTTGCCATCCGCTCCTCCGAGGAGCCCTGGCCATGCTTCCCACCTGCCCACGGGGAGGCATGGCCCCAGCCTCCGAGGCCGGGCGTGAAGGTGAGCAGCTCCCCTGTGCTGTGCCTCTTGGCTGTGCAGCTCCAGGTCTGCACCCCCAGACAGCAAAGGGGCTGCAAGCCGGCTCGGTCCCACCAGGAAGGTTCACAAATGGAACTGGAGCTTGTTACGTGTAACTCCAGTGTGCCTATAGTGGCCCAACACAGAATAACTAGGGAAAGAGAAGATGCCAGCATCCTCTCTTGTGGTGCAGTCCCTTGAAAATTGCATCGTGGACAAATGCACACCCCGAGGCATCTTTAGGCACCAGACAGCAAGGCCACTCACCCACCTCCTGAGATGTGCAGCAGTGGGGGCTATGGCCTGATTGCACTGGGATGAGAACCACCAGTCCCGCTCACTAACATATATTCATCTTTTGCCACCTTTATTTTGGACTGCCCTTCTCTTCCCCCACAGCCACTCTGAGTCAATGCGGGAAATGGAGTGCAGAGGCTTATTTATTTTCCAAACACCCTACGGCACAGAGTTTCATAGCCCCCTTGATGGCCACAAAACAACAGCAACAAACCTGGCAACGGTAAAGCACTTCCCTTAAAAACAAACAAAGTTTCGGAAAACTGGTGGGAGTTTGTTCAGCTGATGGTTCTTGCTCAGGCTCTGTGTGTGGCTCAGGACAGTCTGCTGCAGGGGAGGAGAGGCACTTTCCTCTGCTGTTATTTACAGACTGGAGTTTATGTGACTTCCATGGCTGAAATGACAGATTTCCTCCCGCCAAAAGGCATCTGAGATCACCAGCTGCTCTTCATAAACTGTAAATCAGGAACACCTGTGTCACAGCTTGTAATGGCCACAGTTCTCCCAGTGTTTAGCAGGATCTGTGCTACCTTCCACATGTGCAGCTGGATCCTGACAGCAGCTGGAGACACAGCGCTATCACTCGTAGCGGTGGGGCAGGGTTGCCTTGCCCCTGCAGCACTGCCAGGCATACAGCTGGAGGGAGCCTTGGCTCCGAAGCGGACATGGGGACCTGTCCTTTCTGCTGGGCTGGCAAAAGCAGTGTCCTGCTGGCTCTGCATCCCAGGGGTGAGTCCTTGCTCTGAGCTGTGAGGCTCTGCAGCATTGCTAAGTACCAGAATAGCTTTTCTTCGTGAACTCCATCTGTAAAAACACCTTCTACATTGCATATTTAATATGTGACTATTCCCTTGGCCTCATCCAAGATGAGGCACCAAAGATATCCCGGTGAAGAGAACTCTAGCTTTGGCAGTCACTCGGGAGCCCAGGGACAGGAAACTATTGTAAATAAAGTGCATGGAAAAGGAATCCTACTGGCTCTGCTCAGGAAAATCTCTTCTTGTGGTCAAAAGATTATTTCAAATGGATTAAAGAGCATGGTACGCCCAGCTGCCTGCAGGTTCTTGGAACAAGGTTGTGAGTGTCAGATGACGCTAAATTGACTGAAGAGGCCAGTACAAGCCTTGCAGGGCTGGACGGACAGGCGTGCTTGGCATGCCCTGGGTGCGGGTGCGAGCGGGGTGCAGCTCCTGGGAGCTACGGCACCTCTCTCCAACGGTCCTCGCAGGCCACCGCAGCATGAGGCAACTCCCCAGGGAGGTTGCATCAGCTGTGGAGCAATGAGTAATGGGGCAGTTTTGTGTCTGAACAGCAAGTCAGTGGAGAAGGAAAGTCTTGTTACCTACAAGGATTATGACCTTCCTTCCCCTTTGGAATTGTGTTGCCGTAACTTCCTTTATAAGACCGTTTATTGAGAAAATTAAATTGTTTTGGTTAGACTTTAGATGCATTTATGATCTCAGTGGGGTCATAAAGCCACAGCAGAAAATAAAACCAGTGCTGATAATTCCTGGGCACAGCCTGGTGCAAGATAGCGCAGATGAGATTACTGTCAGAGCGGTGGTTCCCACAGCCCTCTGCGATGGGAAATGGCTGTTTATATGAGCAGTTTCTGCTCAGAGCTGGGAGAGCTGTGAAAATGCCAAAGAGATACCTGGCAGTTTTTATGGGATGCCTTCCCTTGGAAAGGAGTACCTCCTTTCCTTCTTCTCCAGCCCAGAGCAGCTGGGATCTCGCTGGCAGTTCTTGCACAGGCTGCTTGCCCAGATCGCCCAGCCCGTCGGCTCCACATCCCCATGACCCAGCATTCCTCTGTTCCCCACAGATCACCAAGGTAGCTCAAGGATAATTGCTATTTTTATATCAGTTCCTGGGAAGAGGCCCTGGGTTGTAAATGACACAGAGGAGAGATGAGGAAGGACAAATGACACAGTCCAAGGTCAGTTTATAATCAGTGTCATTGGAGATGAGGCTGGCCTCTCACCACCTGCATCTCCTGGTGGAGGCAGATGTGAGCAGGAATGGACCACAACTGTGGGCCAATTCCCTGGTGAGGGCACAGGGCGCTCGTCTGCCCCCAGCACCCAACTGCAACAGCCCGAGTCCCCCCCCCAAAGGGCCTTAACATCTCAGCTGAGGGGGTGACCCACCACATCTCCCACCCGAGAGGACCCGCCGCTCTGTCCCACTGCCGACACGCTGCACCCCAGGGCATCTCGTGTGCCTGTCCCCTAAAGCTTCACCATGGGCCAAGGAAATGCCATGCAGCTGAAAGCAAATGTTATCCCTCCTGGTAAGCAGCTCACCTCTTATTCTCCTGCTCTCTCTCCCCCCTGCCTTGCTGTGGATCTATAAATACTCCAGGAGTGTGATAAATAGAGGATTGCTGCTAAGGCTTTGTCAGCTGCAGTTGGAGCTGACTGTGCAACTGTTAATTATGCCTCAGCAGCAGCCGGACAGGTTTAAATCCTTTTGATGCTTTGAAATGCTCCCTCTGGGGAAGTTTAAGGAATAAAGGTTGTCGTGGCTGATACGTGTTAGCTTCCCCTTCTAGAAAGCGTATGAGACACTGATTGCTGCATGGAGGGCTGTTCTCCTCACTTCCATTCCCTGTTCCTGGAAACACACACTCTGTATAATAGCAAGAAGCTGCTTCTGCAGATCTATAACTGCAGTAAAGCAGTTAGTGTGCTGCCAGCATGTGCATAGGGTTTACCCATGTAAGCTTTCCCTAGCAGACAAAACTGAGTTGAAAAGAGAAAGCAGAGAACTAGCTGCAGGTGATGGCACTGGATTTCCTGGGGAAGAAAAGGTTAGGGCCAGCATTAATGCCTCACTGGAGATAGCCTGGTGACAAAGGAATCACCGGACAGTGCCTTGGGCTAACATAGTCCAGCTGCAGGTGAAAAGCTCCCAAGGGGTTCAGCACAATCCAGGGACTCTGCTGGGCCCTCTTCTCCCCTGACTCCCTGCGAGCTTGCCAGGCTGAGCTGTGTGGGTGTCTGTGTGCTCACCTACAGGCTTGCTGCTCTGGATTGCTTTATGGGTTTGCTGTGCCATATTTTTACTTGTGTTTCTCAGAAGAAAGGCTTTGCTCTTCCACATTCATGGCAGCTTCCAAATTCTTCCACTGAGTAAGGGGCATGCACCCCTCAGCCTAAAATCCTGGTCTAAAACATTCAAAGTCATGGGATAGCCACATCAGAAACCATTCCTCAGCCACTGGATAAAAATCCCTTCCTTTTTCTGCCACTCACCCCTACCCTCTAGTACAAAGTGCCCTGGGTGCTGTGTGTGTACTCTGTGTAGAGGTATCACCACAGATGATGCCCTGGCAATATGAAAGAAAAATCCAAGTCACAACTATCAGATGGTGATTGTGGGCAAGTGTGTCCAAAGCTGTGTGCAGAGCTGGGACAGAGCCAGACCAGGGCTTGGGCCCCACACACCCCACTCGAGCTGTGTGCTCAAGAGAAAGAGAGGGAGACGTAGGAGGACAGGTCTTCTTTGGCCCTGGCTGTTGCACTAGCTGTGCCAAATTTTTATTGCACACACCAAGTTTACTACTAACCTGAGCGCCACATGTCTGCTTAGGAAGTGCGTATTCTCCTCTTAGAAGTTTGCTCTGGGGCACTATAAAGCACAATAAAGCCCTTGTCATAAACAATAGCCTGCTTTCACAGGTATTTCCTCCTAGATGTAGTCTCCTTCCAACTGTGATAACTGCAGACTGAAGGCTGGGTATGATTTCTGTTGTGCAATCAAATAAACGATGTTGCTGGCAAAGGACGCTGCCTTTGCTGAGCTGGCAGTGTGCACAGGTATGGATACCCAGGCACACCAGCCCAGGTACACACTCATGCACATGCACTTGCATGCCCAACCTTGCAGGTGTTCACCCAGGCACAATGCTGCTGCACCACTTCCAAGCCCCAGCTCTCTGACTCAGGTTCCCCAGGCAGAGTTTTCAGCTTGACAGGGCTGTGATAATTTGCCAGCAAAGCCTGGGGTCTTTCCCTGCTACAGTCACATGGAAAAGAGCCTCCAGCCCCCATGTCTCCAAGCCCCTCCACGAAGTTTGGACCCTGCTGTGAAGGTGAGAGCCTGGGGAGGGGGGACGGGACCGCAGCACTCTGTTCCCTGCTCCATCCTTGGCAAATTACTGAGCATCCAAACCCTATTTGCCTTGAGTTCTTTCCCTCCCTCCACCTGCTGTAAAATGGAAGCGATGAGATTCACATCCCTGAAGAGAACTGCCAGGGCTCAAACCAGACAGCTTTGCAAGTGACATTT